CATAAACATTCAACTTAGATGTTTATGTCGTTGTATATGTTCGGCATAAACATTCAACTTAGATGTTTATGTCGTTGTATATGTTCGACATAAACATTCAACTTAGATGTTTATGTCGTTGTATATGTTCGGCACAAACATTCAACTTAGATGTTTATGTCGTTGTATATGTTCGGCATAAACATTCAACTTAGATGTTTATGTCGTTGTATATGTTTCGCATTTAGACGTTATGCATAAACATTCAACTTAGATGTTTGATAGCAACTTAGTAAAATATAACAGCCTTGTTACAACTTTTTAAGAAGCTTGCTACAAGGCTGCTGCGAATAAGTTGTTTGACTGATTTGTGCGATTTTTTTGTGTGTAGTTGTATATCCCTCTCAATCCCCCCTGTCTAACTTACTCATCTCGTTTTCGTCCTGGAGGAGGATTTACACAGCTCCCCATTTAGCCTGCGTAGCTGGCTGTTCTACTCCCCATTGTACAGGCACCTGCACCACAGCAGCCTGCATTTGAACTACGTGGCCCGTCGTCTATTCAGCTTCTTGCGAAGCTATAACATGGTATAAAAATTATCAAGGAGACAGCTATGACAAGATATTTGAACACTAGAAGGCACTCAGGGATTGCATGATAAATTATCGGTATATGAAATTATTACATAACGTCGGGAGGGGATTGTTGGTATACTGCTCCTCCCCAAGATTTTGTTGGCGGCTCCCCAGCCCGCGTCTCCACCAAGTATTTTATTAGGGTACCTTTTGCTTCAAAAGTAATCCTTAGCAATTCACTCGCTTGATACAAGAGCGCAGCACAAATTTCGAATTTAATATTAGGCCGGGCTATTCAACCCCTCCCCCCTAGATAAGTCTAGCTCCTCATGCAGTGCACCGAGCTTTTTGCTGCCGCAGCGAGCGAGCCTGAAGCGAGCGAGCAAGGCAGCAGATCCTAATTTTGTTTTGTGGGTCGATATCAAAATTTTCTATTTGGCGCATTGCATGACGGTACCAGTGAATTTTAACCGTGGTGCAGCGCGGTCGAGCATAAGGCAAACAGGCAATGTGATCATCTTTCATCTTTGGTCTTTTTTATGGAAAGCCATAGCTGGCTTAAAGTGATCAAACGGCATTTTGTTGGGTGCTTTTAGCATTATACGGCGGTGCTTTTGGCATTATACACGGTGCTTTCGCCATTATACGCTGTGGTTCCAGCATTATACGCGGTGCTTTCACCATTTATATACGCGGTGCTTTTGCAATTATACGCAGTGGTCCGAGCACTATATGCGGTGCCTTTAACATGACGCGATGCTGGCTTTCTTTCAACATTATTTTCATATTCTTTCCATGACATGTATATGATTTAACGATTGCTTAAATTTGGTATGTGGTTGACGAATGCTTTTTGCCTATGGTCCGCAAAGACAATGACATGCTTTTCTGTGTAAGTGTGTATATAAATGAATATAACGCAGCGAATGCGCCGTATAAACACGCGGCTGAAATACGATATTAAAATCTTGAATGTGCCGTATGATTTAATTATGTTTTAGGATTTACAAATGCTTTGTCATTTGGTGTTTATACTTGTACTGCATCACAAGGCAGTACGTAAGTGAAAAAATTTCACATGTGAGATTGTCTTGTATATATTTTTGCTTTCTTTGATAAACATTATTACACTGGCCTGTAGGCCAAGTGTCTTAAATCCCTCTTTTTCTGTTTTTTTCGTAGTCGAGAAATCGAGTTTGCGTTAGCGCATCGCAGGCTCAAGGTGCAACGATTAAGCCAAAATGCCATCGATTCCCTCCGTTCCATGATTCAAATACAATAGCAACAAGTTACGTATTTATGTACGTACTAGCCGACTCATGCCATGCTTGTGGTACATTTTTCGTTTATTAGCCTATACACTTGTACGCACGCGCACAATTCCGAACTGCAATGGCGGCTTTTCACAGAGTGATCAAACTATATTTTACACAGTTTCGTTGAATTTTCAAAGAATTGTGCCGGTTTCCTATGTATTTTACGTTGTGTCGTATTCTGGACTTTCTTGCGTGTTGAATTAATGTGTTTTTCTTTGTGTAATGACTCGAAAACGCTCGAAAACCACAAAATATAATATTTAGTACTCCACGAAATATAATCCGCACGAAAAGCTTTGTGGTAGCTATACTGAAAGATAAAGCGTGCGTTCAAATACCAACAAGAACTAGAACCATTATTGTATCATTTGTATGGTTCTCATTTGCTAGACTTGCCACAAGTCGACCTCGAAGAAACGCATTTCGTTCGAGGTCGACTTGTGGCAAGTCTACACTGTCTACTCATTTACAACAAGACGCCTGCTCAGGCGTTCACACTGGCCTGGAAATAACGAGATACGTGCTATGGTGCAAAAGGCAGGAATACAAATCTTAAACCGCAAGCAAATGGACTTTTTTTAAAAAAAAAAAGACCTTTTCGGGAGACGTAATGGAGATCGATGTACGTGCAAATCATGCCGACCTGCAGAATCGATTTCCGGTTTTTCCTAACAGCGCGTTGTTTTCATGTGCGTTCCATGGGCCGCGCTAAAAATATAAATATTCTGTAAATACCGAAATAAAAGATGAAAATCTCAAGACACAAGCTTGAAAATAACACTATAAATAGTGTTTTCGATTCTGGTTCCAATAACATTATCACGAAAAAGATATGTCCAAAGGGGCCGAAGTTATGTTCGGCAAAATGTATGGCCAGTTTACATTGTTTGTTGTATTATGAAATATGATACCATACTTGTATTAAAATTCGCGTCGAACTAATGTTATTGTAAATGAGTAGACTTGCCACAAGTCGACCTCGAACGAAATGCGTTTCTTCGAGGTCGACTTGTGGCAAGTTTAGCAAATGAGAACCATACAAATGATACAATAATGGTTCTAGTTCTTGTTGGTATTTTGAACGCATGCTTTATCTTTAGTATAGCTGCCACAAAGCTTTTCGCGCGGATTATATTTCGTGGAGTACTAAATATTATATTTTGTGGTTTTCGAGTCATTACACAAAGAAAAACACATTAATTGAACACGCAAGAAAGTCCAGAGTACGAAACAACGTAAAATTCATAGGAAACCGGCACAATTCTTTGAAAATTCAACGAAACTGTGTAAAATATAGTTTGATCACTCTGTGAAAAGCCGCCAATTGCAGTTCGGAATTGTGCGCGTGCGTACAAGTGTATAGGCTAATAAACGAAAAATGTACCACAAGCATGGCATGAGTCGGCTATTACGTACATATATACGAGCTTATTACTATACTATCTAAATCATGGAACCGAGGGAATCGATGGCATTTTGGCTTAATCGTTGCACCCTGAGCCTGCGATGAGCTAACGCAAACTCGATTTCTCGACTACGAAAAAAACAGAAAAAAGGGGATTTAAGACACTTGGCCTTACAGGCCAGTGTAATAACATTAGTTCGACGCGAATTTTAATACAAGTATGGTATCATATTTCATAATACAACAAACAATGTAAACTAGCCATACATTTTGCCGAACATAACTTCGGCCCCTTTGGACATATCTTTTTCGTGATAATGTTATTGGAACCAGAATCGAAAACATTATTTATAGTGTTATTTTCAAGCTTGTGTCTTGAGATTCTCATCTTTTATTTCGGTATTTACAGAATATTTATATTTTTAGCGCGGCCCATGGAACGCACATGAAAACAACGCGCTGTTAGGAAAAAACGGAAATCGATTCTGTAGATCGGCATGATTTGCACGTGCATCGATCTCCATTACGTCACCCGAAAAGGTCTTTTATTTTTTAAAAAGTCCATAAAATTTGCTTGCGGTTTAAGATTTGTATTCCTGCCTTTTGCACCATAGCACGTATCTCGTTATTTTCAGGCCAGTGTGAACGCCTGAGCAGGCGTCTTGTTATTAATAAACACGCAAATTTTAATTAGTGAAACGCAATGTTAAATGTCACCTGCATGTCATTGTCATTGCCCTTTAACCCCTGGTCTAATTGGCCGCTTTTGAAAATGTTGATCATGACAAACCGAACTTTTGTGTTTTAAAAACGAATTAGGATAAAACGCGGATACGGACGGACGGACGGACGGATGGCGACGGACGGACCGGACGGATAACATATATATGTAATTATATAGCTGCGCGCAGCCGCGCAGGGTAGTTAGTGGCTTACGTCTTCACTGGTTGTTATACTTTAAAATAATTTTGTATTTACCGAGAAATCAATATTCCGAGTATATAAATATATAAACTGGGATGTCACACTGATAGTTTGTTTACATTTCCTGGAGCATCAAATCTTATGTTTAACCACGGTGGTTTAACCCATTAGCTGGCAATGCGCCAGTCCCTTGTCCAGCGCCAGAAAATTTTACTCGTCAGTGGTACAGGGTACTGCGAGTAATTGGGTTAACAAACCTATCTGCCAATGGCTCTTGTTAATCCGTCAGCACAGTAATGACTTTAGTATTTACCCTGTCCAACGCCAGACGATTTTTAATACTCAGTCAGTGGTAGGGCCGTGCTGTCAATAAATGGGTTAACAAGGATAACAATAGCCTGCGTAGCGGCTATCAGAGACTAGGATAACAATAATAGGATGTTTCTGAAGGACTCGTTCAACACCCTGTAGTTTGTCTTTTGCTGTCAAAGGCAGCATTACTGCTCTGTGGGTAACCTAGTATACTATATAAGTTTGTTGTTTGACCCCCTCCTGATAATATCTACGTAACAGAAATTTAAGGAAGTCGAGACTCTTCAAGGACGGGGAAGGGAGACAAAAAATGGAATTCGTAAATTGAAGTATTATTTAGTAAATTCCAGTTTAATTAATTATAATTAATTAATTAATTCTTCGTGCTGCTGCAGGCAGAATTATCTTCTTGCGCGTTTTGAGAACATTTTATCCCGTCATGACCGATCGAATGACCACTTGAAATAAAATTAACATAATTTCCACGCTCCCCGGCAATAACTCCCGGGTCTTTTCCCCCCAGCTTTCGGCGCTTAATTCAAGATGGCGGATGACAGTGATGACGATTCCTGGGGTAGTTTCTTTGAAAACAACCGGTCTGTGCCTCTACATAAAACTCGACGGGAGAAGGAAGAAGGCGATAGTGTTCCTTATCGCATACACTTGAAATCTGTCGAAGGGATCCCCATTCCGAGCTTTGTAGTAAGTAAAAACAGCAAATTTACAAATGTAAACAAACGTAAACCGTATGGTACACTGTAGTATTTTTGTATTTAATATTACACTAAGGCTGTAAAATCCACTATAACGTTCACTATGTAGTATATTAGTGTGTTGGGAATGCGTAGTTTCTACAGGATTTTGATATTTCATTGCGATCGGGTGATATATTTGGTTTTAATGTTGTCTAGCCTTTTGCCGTTGTGAATACTTGATTGTAAACAAGTGTATGTTGTACTATAGCCGTAAATACGCTATGAAGTAAACTGATGTCGACATTTGTGTGTTGGGAAAGATTAGTTAGTATGGGATTTTAATATTTTGTTGCGATCGGCCGATTTGTTGGATTTTAATATTGTCTAGCTTTTTCCTACCTGCCATATTATCGTTATTGTATAAAATATAATTATGTAAATTATTTGTATATAAGTTCTTTGTAGGTTTGCATGGCGGTGAAACATATAATATTATTGTTTGTGGCAACACCACGTAAAAATTTATTACTGCAAAGCTTTCGATCCGTAAGCCTAGATCTTCATCAGTGCTAATAATATATGACTTGTTCAATCCACACACCCTTTTATATACCAAAGTGTCGTGATCTGTTGGCTCACATCATTTGAAACTTTTTATTTAATTTGGGCACAGAATACTACACAGAAGTCCATCTCCATTGGTTTTTGCGGAAGCACTTGTCATCATTCGTCACTCAGCAAGTGCCGTAAACAGAAGCCGTCACCCCCTGGATGTGCACCATTTTGAGTATTTCCAGGGGGGACTGCTTCTGTTTACGGCACTTGCTGAGTGACGAATGATGACGAATAGTACTTAAGCAAAAACCAATGGAGATGGACTTCTGTATAGTATTCTGTGATCCGGGCTTACGGATCGAAAGCTTTGCAGTAATAAATTTATGTGGTGTTTCCACAAACAATAGTAATATATGATTTGTATATAATTGTGTAGTCTAGAGTGATTATGATCGGTAGTTATCCATTTAGTTTGTTGTTTTACCAATCCACCCTGGGGCGAAAAAATATTTTATTTTCTGTGACCACAAGTGAACGTGATTTTTTTCTGTGAGGTATCAACTGTTTAAAATTGTACTTTAATAACTGTTCAATTGTAAGTATGACAATGTCAAAGTATTGTCACTGGTGTATTAAATATAATTTATACCAAAACTGCTGCTGAAATTGTCATAAGACAAATTTCTTCAGACAAACTAGAAAAAAATAGTGCAGACAGTCCAACTTATAAAACTAATGTATTTCAAAAAAATTGTGCAATCATATACCCAGGGCGCGATAATTCAAGATTTTTAGTCGTACCTGACTGGTACGCCAATGGTAGTTGCCGCGTACGTGAGCTAGTACACACTCAGTACTCAATGTGTACTTACTGTAGTCCTCAGACACATGATATACCAACTAAATTACGGTATTGAATACCTTGGGCTTGGAAAGGCCATGTGATACCAGCAAAAAGTAAGTACGCAGATAGCAAGAATTCCGCGTACCTACGTGGTACTTGACTGAAAACAAGGAAGTACCAGACCGTAATATTGGCGTACCTCCAGTACGTAAGTACGCGATTTATCGCACCCTGATTATTACTCTACAATACATTTTGAATCAGTTTCGATTCATCTTCAGCAGCATATTTATTTTGGTACCCGGTCAGTCATTAAATACAATTTGTCCTAAATGCATACTAGAGCCAAGAATCAGTCGAGTTTCAAGTACGTGTCACACTGTACGATGCAGCGAACAAGCACTTCTTTGGCAGTACCTGGCTCGGAGCTTATCTACCTTGGAGGAAAATGGACGAGAATCATGCTAAAATATCTTGTAATGAGGTATGAAATATATTGTTTCTATGAAATTATATATTATTGTATTCTATAATTTAGTCCTGTATATACTGGGTGTTCCAAAAACACCTGGGCGCTGTTTGATTTCATGTAACGTAAAAGCTATACACGCTATCGCAATGAAATAAAGATCATTGCATTCACGAAGGTCTAACTTAGATTTTGATATATAACACTTGAATTTACATGCAATATTTACATGCAATATTGACTATTGATATTTGAACGTTGAACTACTGTTTTTGAAAATGCCAAAAATTAAACAACCGATGTAGTTAGACTTGTTAAATAATAAATATTTTTATTTTGGTTGTATCTCGCTCAATATTGCATGTAAATTGAAGTGTTATATATCAAAATCTAAGTTACATGTACTGTATAGTCTTTTCTGAATGTAATGATCTTTATTTCATTGCGATAGCTTTTATAGCTTTTACGTTACATGAAATCAAACAGCGTTCAGTTTTTTTTTGGACACCCGGTATAATGTGCATATAAACATAATATGAATATACTTTATCGTTTTGCATATGTTAGCCACCATTAATTTCATAAAACTACTTGGAATATTCTATTTTTCAGGCTTTATATTTTCATTCCTCTTTGAACGATGTTACTTGTGTTGGAGCTGTCGAAGTTATAGCTCTGGGTAGGTTATATATAAGTTATTTCCATGAAACTTTATGATTACATTTTTTTTTGCCAAGAAAAGATTAAATCACTGCCCGGACTATAGGTGTCTACTATAGAAACCTTAAAAATTATATAATACAAAAATGACAAAATATATTGTACCTTCTCTGTAATAAAATTGATTGACTATACAGTATATTTTAATAAAGAGATTCAATGTATTTTTTGTTAATGGATATACAAATATCGTTGTGTGTATTTAAGATGAAGCTAAAGGTATCAGTTGTTCTTGTGGCTGGGGGATTCTCAGGATTTTTGACTCAACTATTACTCTCAAGGATTCGTCAAACACGAATGATATTACAATAAACAGGTATACGACAAACACCGAAATGATGCGAGGTTTTAAAAATCTTCTCCGACGTATCCATCGTCTTCACTAATGTTGCAGAAATGTGAAAACCTAAATTTACACTGAATGTTCAAAGCTGATGCATGCTGGCCCATGGCAAGGCCGATTTACGCTACGCAACCTTTGCTTAATAATATAACTGTCGCATGCAACCTGCTTACAACTTGAGTTGTACTGTGTATAAAATCAAGCAAACAACTCGCGACAACTCGCGACACAGTACAACTCAAGTTGTAAGCAGGTTGCATGCGACAGTTTTAGGCAAAAGTTATGTTATTGTAGTGTAAATTGTCTGTCTGTAATTCTGCTCTCCTTCCTCCACTTTGAGCTTTCAAACAAGATTATTTTTCCTTAACCTGGTCTACTTTATAGCCCGGCCCGGTTATTTTCGAAAACAACGTACTATTTCGTAAAACTGAGAATGAAAGTAGTGATACATTTTTGCTAATTTGGTTACAAGGCTCAGTTGTGTTGCTATCTAATCAATATACACTTATGTCTAGTTAATTTGGATGACTGTAAGACTCTCGACCGCTCCCCACAGTCGCCTACTTTATCAATACAGCTATACGTACTCAGAATAATTCTGAAAGTCATGGGAATTACTGATAGTAGATACTAGATGGTTAATTCTCGACTGACACTTATTATGTTTGTCTTTAGATTGAACTTCATGCGTGGCACAGTTCAAGCGTTATTGTACATGTCTGAACCTTTAGAAGGTACTGATACAGAGTACCTTTCTTCTTTCTCACATTTTTTATTTTTATTCACCACATGCGAACAATCTAGTGGAATTAATCTTACCTTATCTTGTCTTTTATTATCTTTCAATTTATGGTGTTTATAGAAATATGATTTTCATGGTAATCAAAATTAAAGACAATCGTAACTCTCGATCGTTTTCTTAGATTTCCCTGGCTTGGGACCAATTCCTGGATTCCAGTTGCTTTATCAGCTATCACGGCATTCCAGTTTAGAGAAAGTCGTTCATTTGTTTCCTGAGAATTCTCTGATTGGTGGAGATGACATAGTGCCGGGTGTGCGAGAAGGACCGCCCGATGGTGGGTGACTTTGGAATAGAAAAAAAAATTGAAAGAGGGCGGGGAAGGAACGAAAAAAGGACGGAATTGAAGAAACGAAGAAAGTGAGGAAGGAAGGAAGGAAGGAAGGAAGGGAGGGCGTGAGGAAGGAAAGGAGGAAGTTGGAAGGAAGGGAGGGAGGGAGGGAGGGAGGGTGGAAAGGAAGAAGATGGAAGGGAGTGGGTTAAGGAGGAAAGAGAAAGGACGGGAGGGTGGAAAGGAGGAAGATGGAAGGAATGGGGGGTGTAAGGAGGAAGAAGGTAGAAAAGGAGGGAGGAAAGGAGGAAGATAGAAGGAAGGGGGACTAAGGAAGAAAGTAGGAAGGGTGGGAAGGAGGAAGGGAGGGAGGGTGGAAAGGAGGAAGATGGAAAGAAGGGGGGGGGGGGGGGAAAAGGAGAA